ACTTGGCAGGCTTCATGCCCTTAGAAGGGACTACCATTCCAGCAAGTTTCATCCAAATCAGGCTGAAAATGACAAAGTTATAGGCTGTTTCAAGCTTCCCTATTATAGCCTATAGGCAAAACATCGAAACAGCGTTGAAACAGCTAAACTGTTTCAATGAAACGAAACGGAACAGTGGTTTCAAATTGAAACAAAATTTGAAAGGAAACATTGTTCCATCAAAACATCAACATACCAGTTGAAACAAAACGGTGCCATTTCGCACATCCCTAGTTTTAACCTCCTAGTCCAGAGACAGGCAGTCTCGCCTGCAGGCTGGATCAGGCCCAAGGCAGACTCCATTTCCCAGCAGCCCCTGCCCACATCACCTGGTTTCCATGGAGACCCCAGCAATGGTGGGGCTGTGACAGCAAGGGGCCAGAGTTTCCATGGAGCCCGGCCCCAGCAGCACTGACAGGGCATGCAGTTGGGTGGGGAGCTGCTCCAGGGCTGGGATCTTGCAGTGGTGACAGCATGATCCGGAGCTGGAGCAAAACTGCAATCTGCTGCCCACATGCTCTGGGCAGGGGAGTGTGGGCAGCAGATTGCAGCTCTGCCCCAGCTCCAGACTACTGTCACTGCTGCAAGATCCCAGCCCCAACCCCAGAGCAGCTCCCCACCCAGCCGCATGCCCTGCCAGCACTGCTGGGGCTGGTTTCTGTGGAAACTCCGGCCCCGCACTATCATGGCCCTGCTGCTGCTGGCGTCCAGCTGCAGTGGCACAGGCAGGGCCTGCTGGGAAATGGAGTAAAGCCACCAGCCAGATCCGCCATTTTGCCCACCGCTGTCCTAGTGGGACATTCCTTCATTAGCAGAATGGCCCACCACTGAATGTCCTTAACAGGGCTGGCTGCCTCTTCTTAGGGAGACAGACACAATCCCTTTCCCTCCATTGTGTGGCAGCATAGGGCCAGACATTCCTGGCTCTCTGGCTCTCAGACGACACAGGTTATTGTCTCCCAGAGTTTCATAGCACGGTGTAACAGAGAGCTGGGGACCCGCTGTTACTTTAAGAGGGGCCAACAGCTACAGGAGGCCCCAAGTACAGGCAATTGCTTACCAGTAGTCAGGAGCATTGGTAGGCTACAGGCATCCAGTGCAAAACCAGAGGCTCAGCAGTAAGGCGATAGGGCAAAGTACTTATTGAGGTGCTGGTAGCACAGCAGTACTACTGTAGAACAACATTCAGCATGGAGAAGAAGGAAACTGCTATTGCAGTTTGACCAGTCTAGAGGACACCCACAGTGGGCTAAGAAAAGGCATGCAACTCCCAGGGGCATAGCTTGGTGGTTATATAACCCAGGCAGAGTCTGGAGAAGGACACTGGTCTTGCAAGCTGCCAGGGAAGGAGCTCTGCATAGTGGTGACTGCAGCTGAGGGACCACTAGGTAAGCCCACTACCCTACTGACTGCAGGTAAGGAGCTGGGGGTCTCCCAAGAGCCAAACTGCAGTGGGTAGCCCAGGAACTTCTAGCTGAGTTATAGGCAGAGGGTTTACCTTTTCATTGTAATTATGTAACTAGTGGACCAAACTGGGTCTAGCAAGAGGAGGTGGAGGTACCAATAGTGCCAGGGAGGCATGAAGAGGCTTCAGCCTGCCAGGGCATGGCACAAGCTACACTTTAGCCCATGAGAGGCAGAGGCCTGAGAGGGCCACATATTGAACTGGGACTGCAAGCCCACTGAGATTTTTAAAGATACAGAGGCCAGAGAGAGCTACATATTAGACTAGGGCCTAGGTCCCATTTGAATGGTTAATACCTGCATCATGGCTAGAGGGGAAGTTGAAGGCCATGAAATTGACCCATAAGGGTCAATGTTGTCAGTGCACTATCCAGCAGCAGACCAGAAGTTGCTTGGGGCCTGGACATCCTCCCTGTTTCCAAGCTAAACAATTCCAGCATTGCATGGCATGTGAGAGATCTGGAGGTCAGAATAGGGAACCAGAGCAGAGTAGGAGCTACTCAGGTGACTGGGGGCACAACTTCTGTGACTGGGGACATAGCCTGTTACAGACTGTGTACTTGATTTTTTAATTTTCCATTTCATTTGTCTAGGAGGTTAATATTATAATGTAAACCTGGCTAGGGATGATTTATCTGAAAGAAATGTTGGAAACAATTGAGAATTCATTTTTATCACTAGCTTAAGTCTGTATTTCTTGTTCTAGTATATCAGTCTCCTTTAGCAACCCAAACCATGTTTCTGGTAGTACAAGTGGATATACTGCCTACAGTTGATCCAACAGCTATTCATGATTTGACATGTTTATAAGGGATTCTCTGAACACAATTCAGAAGAATCTCAACAGATTGGAAAGCTGGGCCAGAGGTAACTGGATAAGGTTCAACACTGAGAAATGCAAGGTGCTATACTTTCAGAAGAATAATCAAAAAACACAAAAGGAAATGCGTAATACCTGGCTGGATGGTAGTATTATCAGGAAGGATCTAGAATTCATAGTAGATCACACACCCAATGCAAGTCTGCAGTGCAATGCAGTTGCACAAAAGGTATATGTGTTTTGGAGATGTATCAATAGAAGCATTAGATGCCAGACAAAGGAGATGTTAGTGCTTCTCTACTCGGCATTGGTTAGGCCTCATCTAGAACATCATGTGCAGTTTTGGGCAAAAATGATGAAGGGCTTAAACAAGTCATATGTTGCACATTTGAAGTAAGTAGGCATGTTCAACTTGCAGAAAAGGTGCTTAAGAGGGGACATGATAACAGCCCAAATATCTCAAGGGCTGCCATAAAGAAGAGGGAAAACATCTTCTCTCTCTTGCTGAAGAGAGTAGGATATGGACCAGTGGCTTGAAGTTGCAGCAAAGTGGGTTTAGACTGGCTATTAGGAAAACCTTCTTCACTGTTAGAAGAGCGAGACAGTGGAATAGGCTGTGTAGGGAAGTTGTAGGATCTCCCTCACTGGAGATATTCAAGAAGAGGTAGGAAAGTATTGGTCAGGAATGATCTAGGAGTAGCTATGTGTAATGGGTACTCCTTCAGTCAGGCCAAGGAGCCAGCCTTCCCCCTTTTCTACCTCAAACTAACCAGAAAAACAAAACATCAACAAACCCTTCCCCACTGCCTCTCTTATCCAGGCCAAGGCCTTCATCTTAATGCTTCAGTAATGCCTTTCTTCTCAGCTTCCCTTCTCCTCAGCATCATCTCCTTGGGAGCTTTTAACTTTCACTAGGACCAGCCAACCATCCCCATCAGCTGGCCCAGAGATCCTAGGCAGGCAGGTTATTACCTACTAACCCCCTGAAGCTGGGCTCTATCCTGAGCCAATCACCTTGTTACACTATGCCTATGCTCTACAGTAGGTATTTCCCATGCTTCTGGGCTTTCCTGGTTGCCACGTGGGGCCAGGAAAGAATTCTTCTCCCTTCCTGCTGCTACGTTTCAGGGGAGGACAGAGGAGTGTGTTTTGCCTTTCTCAGAAGCGCTGAGGTTGCTTGCAACCAAGGTTGGGGTGTGCCAATGCTCCTACAGAGGCTTAAGCACAGGCATTCCTGGCTAGAGGGTCTTTCCTCTACACTCACCGTCAGACTGATTGCCATATTTGGGGCCAGGAAGGAATTCTACCTCATTGTCTGATTGATGCAGACCACAGGGGGTTTGGCCCTCCTTGTATCTCTCCATCGTATTTTAACAACCAGCACAGCAGCAGGACATTGCCCACCATTGTTCCCTATTTTGCCTGTGGCAGGTTAGGGTATTAGGACTTGTGGTTGTGTCAGGGCTGACTTGGTAGTTTTCTTAATAGGTTAAACAGGGTATTTGTATAGGATTGTTTGAATAGGGATGATCCTGCCTTTTGGAGATTGGACTACTAGATGACTGCTGAAGGTCACTTCCAGCCCTACTTCTCTATGATTCTACTGGTGTCTCTTCTTACTTATTTCATGTTGTGATGCTTCATTTTGGAGCTGTAAAGTGTCTGTGTCCTTGATGTGCGTCAGACACTCTCATCCTGTATGGAAACAATTTTAATTTTATGCCAGCCATAAAAATCAACGACTGGAGAATTTTATTGTTTTTGATTCCTGTCACTCTCAGACTGAGTGCAATAATTAGGACTACCTGTTTTCCAAGGCTGGTCATCCTGCAGATGTTTTGAGAGACAAAGTGGAAAAACACTTGTCATTTTTTCCTTCTCTGAAACATGCGAATCTTCACAGCCACTATTTCAGGCCACGGGTGTCAGCATCAGTCTGCAGGTATTCTGGAACACTAGATTCTTGTAGCTATAGAAACCAAAGCTCCACCCTATCAATATCCAGTTTATAAACTAGCCTGTTCGGGGCCAGCTGCAGGGATCCCTCCCCTGGGAAGAACATGCCAGCCTGTAGCCAGCTGCTTGTCACCAAGGGTATATAACTTGATTGGCATGCAGACAGAAGTGGAACTCAGATTCTGAAACGGGATGCAACTGAGAGCTCACTGGCATGGAGGGTGTGGAGACCAGAGCTCTCAGGAGTGGAAAGCTCACTCTGTGCATGCTATATAGTCAAAGGAGAGTGCAACCCACACCACCCCAGATCTTTCCCTGTACAGATGGCATTAATCATCCAGGCTGAGGGGTGAAAGATTCTCGGCTGTGAGTAGAACAGGATGGGCTGTGCTGGCTATTGACTTGGTTTCAGGGTACTGAGGGACAATCTTTTCCTAAGGCTAGAAATTTGTCACGTAGGAGTATGTGTCTTAGCACCACCAGTCCTACCTAGTGTGCTTCTGGGTAAAGTCATCTTGATCAGGTACTCCAACAAGCTAACTGCCTACTCTTTTGCCTCTTTTAAGTTTCAGATAAGAAGTATGGCAATATGTGTGGAGAGCTGCTAACGTTGGGAAGATAAAAGTGTGATATTCTAAACCTACTAAATCCTTGTCCTTGCAACTTTCCGTAGGTGGTGATTAAATGTCCTGAAATATCAGCGCAGAGCGACTACAACAAATCCATTTAAACAGTCAAAAGTATGTTGGTTTTAATGCACAAGATTACACTCAGAGGTTTGGATTAAATAAACCAGAGATTTGATGTCAGGGGAAGGTAAAACTGCATTCCAATCTCTAGAGTGCTTTTGCAAATACAGGTGTCCACAGGATTTTAAAACCCTGTCTCTCCTCCCTCCTGACATGGTACTGGCTGCTAAAGCACTTTCAGGTTACCACCCATAATGACCTCTGGGACTGTCAGAAAGGACACAGTGAGATGAGCAACTTTGACCTTCTAGCCCTTATTTAATATGCATGAGTGTGGGAAGATCAAATGCTGTTGGGGGTTTTTTTCTGGGAATATATACTAAAGAGGAGCAGAGGAGGAAATACTTTTTTTACATTTATTCTCTCTAACAAGAACACAGAACAAATCCAGCTGGACAGTGTGTGCTTGCACAGTGATCTCTTTCTTTCCAGGGCAGACCTCAAACTGGGATTTACAAAAATACTATCAATACAAGGACCTGGGAGGAAGGAGAACAGATCTGTTCCCTGGCACATGGTCCACAGCCCCCATTTCCAGCTATGGCAAAAAGTAGCAGCAACATCAGATCCCCAGAGACTGACCTCCATTGTTCTCAGTGAAGCATGGGGCAGTAATGGGGCAGGGGAGGCGATTAAGTATATAGCAAGAAAAGTGCAAATCCAAAAGTAAGTATGTAAGTCGCAAGGAACTGTGACTACGTTAACAGACAGACACTGACAATCAGTCTGTCTGAGGTCCAGTCCTTCACCAGTGCCCAAAATAGGGACTGTTAATGAGGGTTTAGCAACAGATTTAAGGCCAATAGCTTCTGAGGTAGAAAGAAGGCTGTGCATCACAGGCTCCCCATCCTACTGATGTGAGGTGCCATTCATTTCTACCGCAGCACATGGCAAGATACTGGACCTTAAAATCATATCCTGATCTCCATCTTACTTTCTCCCTCCACAAGAATTCCATTATGATTTTGGTGAGTAATGACTGCATTGTAGTCCTTGAAAGCAGGAATGTCATGCTTCCAGATGGCATGAAGTGCTCGCTTCTAAATTCAGCTGTTCCTCAGACATTAGCCACAAAAATCATGTTAAGACTGAAATGGATGAAATGATAGTAACTGGAAAGAGGCTGAGGTTTAAAGCACATGTTTCATCCAAATATTCTTTTGTTCAGGATTGTTTCATTGTTGCTCTACTGAATATCCTGGCACCTGACCAGGAGGGAATAATGCTGATCTTATAGAAGTAAGACCCATGGCTTCTATTTCTTAGCATAATTTTCTCTTTCTTCCTTCTTTCAAACAAAAGACCCCTAACCCAGGGAGACATGATGAAACTGCAAGCAGACCACTGACAGAGATGGAGCTCTGGTTAGGATACAATCAAGCAGATAACCAGCTGAAGCTTTATATGGTCATAGCTCAGCTGCAAGGAAACACAAACTCATTGCAACAAACAGCGATGGGGGTGGGGCACCAAGTGATGCTCTCATTACAATAAAATCTACTTGGATCCACTTTCAAAACAGTACACTGATTTTACTTGCAGCTCCTATCACTGAATGAATAGGAAGAAAAATATCAAACAAATCAACCACATTTGTTTCTCTCCCTGCTCAGCCCTTACCATGGTTCACACACACATCATTAAAAATCAGTATTTTCCTAGAGAGTTCCCAAGAGGTGCATATTCCCTTTCACAATTTTCAGGGAACAGGGACCTTGTCATCTTTAGGTCACCTGCAGCTGTTAGAATGACACCCTCTGTCAGCTTGGGGGAAGGGGAGGTAGTCCCCAGCTCTTGGCATGACACAGCAAAGGCTCTGAGTGTGAGAGGTACAGAGAGAAGTTCCCTCTAAACACAGGACAGAGGAAACAGTGAGGGAGAGTGACAACCTGCTCTTAACATGGGATAGGGCATTCTGGGTAAGAGACCCAAAGAAAACCCTGCTTGCAGTTCAGCTCTTTTGGGATAAGAAGTATGGACACAGCTGCCTTCCAGTGTGGGACAGAGAGGACTCTGGGGACGAGAATGCCAAACAGAGCCCTGTCCTTATTTATTTTCCTGGCAGACTCCTCCAGAGTCAGTGGGGTGAGTGCTGTTGGTTGTCAGTGGGGTGAGTGCTGCTGGTCGGAGTCCATCTCTAAAGAAGGCTTCTACTACCCTGATGAAACACACAACTGAAACAGTGTCCACAGCTGGTGGCTGCAAAGGTTCCTTGTGGCTCATGGCTGTGTATCTCGTCCCTGCGGCCAGCTCATGGTATCCAGTCCATCAACACAACTCTTCCACGGCAGCATCAAACCACAAGGGACATCCTGGTCGGAAAATCGTTCTGAAGGAAAGACAGAGAAAAATGAAACCATCAAATCATGAGTTAAACAAGGAGAGAGGTATAGCTTTGGCAGGACCTGCACAACAGGGTGAATGGCATTCATTTTGCCATTGTGCACTGAAGGTGCTTGCCGCCAGGGGTAAGAGCAGGGCAGCCTCCATTGTGCTGCAGCTGCCGTTTGCATCTCAATTCTCTCCCTTCTGTGCGTGCACAAATTCTCTCTCTCTCTCTCTCTCTAACAAAGCTCATTGGCATTAACCATGCCGCCTCAGCTGCAGGGCAGATTTGGGAAGGGGGGGCAATCAACACTTCCAACCCAATGAAAGATTTCATAACTCTTACTAACAGATAGACCCAGAGATTTACCCCCACCCCATCTCAGGTGATTGTTTAGCATGCACATATGCATGTGTATTTGCATGTGCACACAGACACACACACCAGTCCATATGCAGATCTTTAACTTAGCATCTTGTTACACATTCCATTTCCTTTCTTCATGCCTCAGCCCACAAAAATGGGGACCCTTAACTCTCATTTAATATTGGCATGGCCTGCAATTTCACTGAATGCTCTTCCTACTACAATGCTACTGACCCATACAGCAACAATCCCAAGCTTTTTGGACCCCTGCAAATGCTCACTATGTCTCATCACCCCCATCTGATCCTCAAACTCTTAACTGCAAAGGATGAAAACCTATGTAATCAACAGACCACTTACCATGGCTTGGTGCAGACCACTGGCTGGGAACCACTGCCATAGCTAGTGTCCTGTGTCCACCTACACACGTATGATTACCCTAGGTCAGGGGTATCAAACACATCAGATGTGCCAGCCAAATGAGTGACATGGGGCCAGTCCACAGGCCAGATCAGGCTCACAGACCAGGCCCACTTGCCATGGGCAGCACAGGCACTGTGTGCAGGCCAGTCTGGGCTGTGCCACATGTTGCATGCAGGTCCAGTCCAAGACCCAGGGGCAGCACTATGGTCTGGTCAATAGCACTCCACAGGCTGTATCTGGCCTGTAAGCCATATCTTTGACACCACTCCTCTACGTCCATATAACTACTCTTTCCTCCTACCCTACTCCAGCATGACTGGCTAGAGCTCAGAGCTGTCAATCCCTGCCTCCCTACAGTGTGATCGCCTTAAGGGACCACCTTCTGATGCATCCCCTCACATGTTATCCCCAACCTGGTATTTCCCCACCATGGTGCCAAACTCCATCCCTTTCCTGGGGTTCCCCCTCGGCCCCAGGCTCTAGATAGAATCCCCTGCCTGGTAATCCCAGCTCAGCCTATTTGGACCAGGAGCGTCAGACATGGCCTCACTGTTTTCTTGGGCTCCTTTTTCCTCTTCTTGTCTGAGGCGTTGAGGTAGGCCTGGTCCCTGCTCCTGTATGAAGGGCCCCGGCTCAGCTCCCTCTCACTGTATGGGGGTAGGGTGTCCTCTCCTTCTTCCTGCTGTGGTGGCTGTTGCTGCTGCCCTGCTTTGTAGGTGGATGGTGGTGACCAGGCATAGTATGTTCCCCCCCTCTGGCTGGGCTGCGAGCTCAGCTTTGAGGGAGTCTCGCTGTGTTCACCACTCTCATCATAGCTCCGTGACTTCCTCTCCAGGACGCTGCTGAGGTAGGAGTGGTCATACTTCTGGCTCCCTCCAGGCGTCCGGCTCACCAGCCTAGGTAGGTGCTTCTCCTCATGAGCCCGTCTCCTGGGTGGGCTGTAAGACCAGCCTCGATCCGAGTCTGTCAATGGCTCTCGGTTCCCCCTACGCTTGCTGTAGTACTCCTCTGAGGTAGTGTCCTGGTGCTGCACTGCTCCACCTCGCCCCCCTCGGGACTCCGACCTCTCAAAGCGCCGGGACTCCTGGCCATCTGTCCGCCGGGTGCGCTGGCTGTAGGATTCTGCGAAGGCTGCGAGCTCATCCATGGAGACAGCTGGTACTCCCACAGAGAAACTCTTCCTCGACAGCATTTCCGATTTCGATTTCTGCTGGCTGCAGGAGAGAAAAGAAAACATTAGATGCAGCATGTGACCTCCTACTGAGGCTAAGAGGAAGAAACATGTTATTCCCTTGCACTGCAGCAAATTTTAAGTGAATAATGTGTCATGCACCACATTTATAGCTCATCTGGGGAGAGGTATCCCAAAGTTGCCCTTGAGATATAAAGGACTGAGGTGCTGACACTGTGAGGAAATTCCCAGGGTATGAGAGTCTGAATTATACTGTACTCTAGGGACCAGAGGGCAAGACCCTTGGACCAAGACTGGGAGTGGTTTCTGTTCATGTGTGCTGGGCATTTATTGCACTCACAGTAAAGAGGCAGTGCAATTCCTAGAAGTCTCACCATGCCAGGAGAACAGTGGATGGATTTCCTGGCCTTATACATTATTATCAAATATTTATCATCTAGTTCTCTCACACGGAAAGGGGAAGGTGTTTGGTTTCCCCCAGGAGGATCAGCTAATCAGCGCTGTGGGAACCAGATCAATCCCTGGCCTGCGTCCCCTCTGCTTTGCCAGGCAAAAACAGAACCAAAGGAAGTTCCAGTGTCTCAGACCTTTCTTCCTTCCCCTTTTCCCAGCTAGGTCACTGGCCTCTTGAGCACAGCACTCACCTGTGCCGGAAGCTGTCCCTCTCCTCCCTGTAATCGGAGACAGCCTGTGACCTCGAGGTGCCACCCCCACCGATCACCCCTGCCCAGTACTCTGCATCACCATCCAGATCCCCGGCCGGAGGGAGCGGCTTCCTTCGCACCTGGCGGTAAGGCTGACAGAAGTTCAAGTCCTCCTCATGCAGGGAACTGAGCTCAGAGATGGTGTTGTTATCTGCAGGAAACCAGGTAGACACACAGATGCACATCACAGATGGGACAAGTGTTTGAGAAGACAGTGAGATCATGGTGGGGCTGGAAGAAGCTAAACCTCCCTACCATAACAAACAGAATCAGTCTCAAAGCCCCTGCCTACTCCATTTCTCCTCAGCATGTGGATCCTAATGGAATATGGATCGTGTCTCAGAACAATTTGGAGAATGCCCCTGGCATGGGGTCCTCGCCCATCTCCACCCTGGTTGGGTGTTCTGCTTTGTATAACTGGAGTGCAACACCCCCTCCCTGCCCCTTCTCCCTCCCCCCTGTAAGACAAGAGTGGCTCTAGACTTGGTCTGACCAGTCAAGCTAAAGCAAAATCAGCCCCCTCAAAAATGATTTGGACTCTCCCTTCCACCTCCAGTCTGCTGAATGGCTGTCAATCTCCACTCCGTCAGGAGCAATGACATCTGGATTCCTGACATTCCAATCTGGAGATGGTCTTTTTATAGTAGATCTTGTGGGTGGAAATGGCAACATGCTCAGTTCTGATGACTGTTTTAGAATGATATGTAATTTTTTAGTTTCTCCTAATCTGCACAAAGCTGTGATTAATGCCATTCCCCTCAACCCTTACCTCCACTGATTGAGTCACGTCTGTGACTGTCAGGTTCTAAATTCATCCCTGTACAAATGCCTGAAGCTTGGACAAGCTCAGTGCATAAGCTAATAATAAAAGCTACAAGGGTTTGTTTTTTTTTTAAATATCATCTGTGCCTTGGATGATATTTAAAAAAATACCTTGGAATTCCAGGACTCCTCATGGCATTGGGTCAGAGGAATCATTGCAACGCCTTTTGTCTTTCTTGGCTTTTTCATACGCAATACTGAGGGGTCTGGGTTGTATTTATTCATTTTTAATGTAAGCTGATGCCTTGCACCAGCCTGTCTGAATCCTGGGTTGCCAGGTGCAGCCTCAAATATGGGAGAAGCCATGTTTCTCACCAGCCAAATGAAATCCTAGGAACTAAAACAAAAGGCCTCCCTCTTAATGGAGCAGGCCCATAAAGCCCAGCATGCACCGCATTGCAGGAGACAAAGAATGAACAGAGAGAGGCAGAAACACAGCTCACTAGGAATTCTAGGAAGCGATGGATGCCACCAGTGGAACCCAGTCTAGATGCCTGTCACGCCCACCAACTGAAGTCTTCTGAACATAGAAGAAGTTTGGTATAGGGAGCTGAGTTACAAGCTTCACCCACACCCCACATACATTGCCCTACCAATATACCACAATCCCAATCTGGAAAGATCATTGCTGAGAGCTTGCTTCTGCCACTCATATTCATAGGTTAAGGGTAACATTTACTAAGAGGAAGTTTGTAGGTCAGCAAATAAAGAATTAAAGTTCCACAAATAATCTTAGTTCTGAACCTGCATCCTTTCCATCCTCAGCCTCTTCACAACCAACCCCTTCACCTGTAATAGTTCCACTGCCATGGCATGATACTAGCAATATGAATGCAACCCCGCCCCCATCAGACAGTAAATGCTAATACACAAACTGCTTCTGACCTGTCCCAGATGGCCCAGGGTCCCCAGTTGTCTCCAAAGTGACAGCAAGAATGAATGACTCCTGACAGATTCAGAAAGCAATCTTACCATCTCATGTCCATTCTATTTGCAAAGCAGCACTCAGTCCAAACTACGTTTCCCACAATACATTATGGCTCTAGCCCACCACAATATATAGCTGTTTTACAACAATAGTGGCTCTGTGCCTTCGGAAAATAATATAGGTCTGTAATAAATCTCTTATAGTGAGACACGGTCTCAGACTCACATCTCCAGTTGCATCCTATCTATGAGAATGGGCCTGGTTCTCCTGTTGCATCCTAGACATGAGAATAGGACCAGATTAAAAAAAAAAAAAAGAAAAGAAAAAGAAAAAAGGTGGCAAAAGTTGGGGACCTAATGCCTTATCTAGACACTTGAATAAAAGGCTAATTTTTCAAATGGATTGAATATCCAGAAGCTTCTAGTGACTTCAGTGAGAGCTGGTAGGTAAGCACTAGCAGCAGTTCTGAAAATGAGGCCTCACTTTTAGTGGCTAAAATGGACTTAGCCTAAATCTAGGAATCCTAAGTTTGAGAAGAGTGGAGCCAGCAGCTCTGAGATCAAGTTGTCCGTAGAACCTAAAACATGAACTTCTAGTGCCTATGAATGTAGTTTCATCTCTGAGAAGAGTCAAACAATGCCTATTTCTCACATCGCTCTCGCATCCTCCTAGCTGGGTCAAACTGAGCCAGTTCTTTCTCAACGTAGTACAGCACCTTCATGGAGTCCCTCTCCTTGTCGGTCTGGATCCTGTATCCCTTGCGGACTGTGGGGAGAAGAAAAAAAAACACTCAGAAGACAGACCTTGTGAGCAACAAAGAGACTTTTAACTTAGATATCCCAATTTCTGTAGCGGTACACCAGCTCTTTGAAAACACAGGAGTCAGTCGCACTGTCCTTGCCTCAACAGAAATTAAAAGCATCTTCACATAAGGCTGAGCAGTTTGCTGCTTATAAAGTCTGCAGCAAAAGCAAAATGTGTTTAGAAAACACCAGCAGGTACAACAACAAAATGCACCAACAAAATATCACTGAGAAAAGGTTAATCTAACCACCCAGGCTCTCACAGGAGAAAAAGGAACAGACTTCCCATAGCTCCAGAGGCCTCCTAATAGTTGCAAGCCCTCAGGAAAAGACCTGTTGTGGCAGCAGGGGACTGATCATGGCAGAACTCACTTCTGCCATATCCAATACTCCACTCACAGAAAGGCCAGTGGGATTAGCTCCTAAGTAGCTCTGACCTGGCCTGAAGCCAGGTGAGAGAGAAGTCAGGGAGCTGCCAGTGGCTCTCAACAGCTTTCTCCCACTGTTCCTTGCAAGTTCTACTCATATAGGCTGGAAAATATGTCCCAATGTGTCAGAAGTTTGAGAAAAAATAACTGCATATAGAACTCAATGATGAATTAATAGGAGGATCTTATAACTGGGCTGATCTTTGCAACTGGGTTCCTCTAAAACTGCTTGCTGTTGCATTCTGTACTTACTGTATTTTGTACAAAATACAGTGCTCAGTTATATATAGTAAGCAGCTGGCTCCCAGCTACTTCACAAACAGGGGGGTGTTATCACTTTGCTTTTTGGGGCATACAGCCTCCTTTTCCATCTGAACAACTCCTTGGCTCTGTCTCCTTTCTGTCCCCTGTGGATTTCTGCAGGAATTCCCCACACTCCTGCAGAAATGAGCATGGAGACCATAACTGAGAGGCACTTACTTGTACAGAACACATTGTGAGGAGGGATTTTTGTGCACTTCCTCTCCTCCTTATGAACTCAGCAACTGAAGGATTACAATACCCAGGTCTTCAAAGAGTCTCAAGAATACAAACCCAACACCCATCCTAGCAAGGGAAATGCTCAAGGAAATAAGAAGAGGTTTGACCAGTCCGAAAAGTTTGGTTATCTTGCACTAGAACTGAGCAGGGCATTTGGTTTGGATTTATCATACTCATTGGTTGTGCACCCAACAGACATTGTGTGCACATCCATCTATATTCTGATTTTAAACAGCATTGCTTTAAAAGCTTTATTGTATTACCTGATATGGTGATTTTTATTTTAAGGCATATTGCTCAACCTGCACAAGCTGGATTTAGCTTTATTTGGCAAACAGATTCCAAGTCACTTTCTATCCTAAACTGAAGTCCAGTGTCACTGGGTATTGGACAATAGTAGGCAAATCCATTTTAAAAATAGTTACAGTGGCAGCAGGTGGATTGAGTCCCATAATTACTCTGTGAAGTGCTTTGAGATGAGAGCATGTTACTGTCCATTTGTAAAGTACAGAACTCTAAATATTAAATTATGATCTTTTGTAAAGTAAATAACTAAATATTAAATTATGATCTTGTGCATGTGTACGTAGTACAGGTAATTAGATGCTTAAGAGGTAACAGGACTCTTTAAAATACCGTTTTCAGTTTGCCACTATGACACTTATGTAGCTCAGTCAATGGAAATTTAGAATTCTGCTGCTCTACTGTGCTCTATTATCACAATAAAGTGTACATTTAATGACTGTACATGAATACAGTAATTTACAGAATTCACAAGAGATGCTACCCCTGCCTTCCAGTGCTTTTTTTGTTACATCTTTCTAAGTGGATTTAGTTCTGGGAAAAGGGGTTAGATTGACAGCTCTAGAAACTGAAGCCTTCTGTTGAACTGACATAACAGGTACAACCGTAGCACGTTTTCCAGCTCTGCCCTACCACTGGGCCTGAATTCTGGAGTGAAAAGTGTCAGCAAAGGAGCAATTATTGATGCTTTTTCTGACATGTCTATGAACCCCCGCTTTACCCTTTTTGTGTTGTGTCAGGGTTGACCATGTAGTTTTGCTAAGAGATTAGACAATGGATTTGTATGGGATGGTTTGGATAGAGATGATCCTGCCTCAGAGAGGGGGTTGGACTAGAAGACCTCTGAAGGTCCCTTCCAGCCCTACTACTCTAGGATTTTATGAAGTGGGTGAAACCCACCACCTTATGTCCATCATTTTGGAATGACACCAAGTCACTGATGACCTTTGTTAAATTCAAACTGGGGGTTTCCAGGCTCTATCTTACATTGCACTTCCAGGGCCATTATTCATTCTGTGGTTGTGCCAAATATCAATTTGGGTAATATCTATAGCTCCTCAAATTGATAAGAAAATAGCCAGCCTTAATAAACTTCTTGCTTGACTTACTACAGCACTTTAAAAGGGAAATTAATTTTCTGGCTAATTCCGTAAGCATCCATAAATTAATACTGGAATTATGTTTGTTAAGATGTTCAGGGGAAACACAGATAATATTTCCATTCCAGCTAGTTTCTATGAGTCTGACTCAGCAGATTGTACTTCAAATATGCCACGTCCTCCACTTACCAACTCTCTTATTGGGTTTTTTGCACAGTCCCAAAGTACTAAAGCCTCACAGACTTTACAAAAAAGGATTTATATTTCTGTACCAATTTTAAAGATAGGGAAACTAAGGCACAAGGAAGCGGAAGTTAAAAAGCTTAACCAAGATCACACACCAAATCAACAAGAATACACCCTTTCCCTACCCACTTGGGGCAGTATGAAGAACTCAGTCTTCCTCTGTTCTGAGTGATACAGTATGGGCTACTGGTTACAGCATAAGATGAGGTATCTTTCTTCGATCCCATTCCTTATTCAATTGCTGGCTCACTGTGTCACCTGGGACAATTAATTTAACTTTTCCATGCTTCAGTCTGTCTGTCTACAAAATGGGATCTGGTATCATTCCACCCTGTAGGTCTTTTCTCTTTAACCTCTTCTAAGCATGCAAGCTCTTTGGGGAAGATGCCAACTTTTGCCCCTGTGTTTGCACAGCCCCTAGCACAAGCAGGTCTTGATCAATGACTAGGCACTGTTGCAAGACAAGTTATAATATCAATAATTAATTGTAATAATAATAGACCTCCTACTGTCGTTCATCATACATGTGCAAAATCTTTTAAATCAAGTAGGGGCTTAAAAGTAAAGAGCTTTTTCGTTCACCTTTAAAATGTTTCCAGCTGGCAATTTTTAAGCAGGCACTTGTACCATGTCAAAGACCTAGAGTCTCATAAAGCTCTAATTCTTTTGAAGGGGCTGGGAGAGGGCTGAAAACCAGTTGTTCTATCACAAGAGTGTGCAGTGAAACTTTTGAAAGCATGCATTGACTTTTTTGGATGAAGGCTCTGCTCCCTGACTCTTAAGCAACCCCCAGTGCTCCCATGACCAGTGCTGCATTCTACATGCAGTAACATTTACAGGAAAAATTATTAGATACTGAGCTGATGCCCAATGTGTTCTGACAATGACTTTTTAATGGGAATGCTTCTGCTTTGGGTCAGTGCCTGATTTATTTTCTAATTTTAAGCACTGTACTCTAGCTGTTTTTGTCAGTGATGAAACTATGCTTCATCAGCTCATTTTAGTTTTTGATTTGGGCAGAGAAATGTACAGGTTATTGAAGGCGAAGTTTCTGATGGTTCCAAAAATGTATGTACACTGATGAGGGGAAAAAGTGGTAGAGGTCTATTAAGAAATCTGTATCCCTGCGTGAACTGGTTAATTGCCTTTTCAGTGGTGTCATTATAATATGACATCATGATAACATTTAGCATTTGATAACTGCTGCTTACATTCCTCCTCCCCAAATGCATCCTGCAGTTTTAAATGACAACAGGCCTCTTTTCCATGTGTCATCCTAAATTGTCATGTAGTGTTGTAGTATGCTGAGAAACAGCTGCTGTGCTGTTCTCCAGAGGTGACTCTCAGTAGTGGCTGAAGCGGCTCAGCTTGGTAGAATAGACACAATAGAGAAATGCTATAAACTTGCTGCTGATCCAGTCCCAGATCTAATTTCAAGTTCGTGATCCTCATCTTTAAAGTCCTGCATGACCTGAGACCTGACTATATCAGAATTCCTGTTGCTGTGCTCTCCATCCTATAAACTACATTCTGGGAGATGGGAGCTGATAAATGCTAGACTCTCGGGTGTGGAGGCAAGAGGCTGGGTCTGTGTATGTATGTCAGTATACATGGCTAAGGGAAAGGGGTAGCCTGAGCCATACAACTGCTTACCTTTGGAGACCATGGCAATTCCCATTTTACTGATGCAGGTGCTGAGCTACAAAGTGGCTAAGGGTGTGTGCATACTGCTCAATGACAGGACAGGAAGCTGCATACCAAGACGTGCCATATACCCTTCACACATCCTCCCTCCCAAACTGGACATAGTATAGCCACTGAACACGTGCCAGAAAGAGCTTCCTGGCCCATGTGCAGCACCACCCTGAAGTGGCTTATTGCTTTTGGCTCTGAAGGTAGCATGCTTGGAGCCAGCATAGAGTGTCTCGGTCTCTGCTGCCTGGCATTAATAGGGCACAGACATATACACTGAAAGACTTGCCCTAAAGCAGGGCTGTTCAACTCGTGGCCTTTTAAACTGTGACCTGCAAGCTTTGTCAGAGCAATTGCTGGAACCGCTGTACTGGCACCACTCCAGAAGCCAGGGGAGGATACTGCTGCCACTCACCCCTTTGCCTTTGCCCACCAACAAATTTGGGTACTTTGGTCACCACTGATGACTCAAATCAATAGCAGGAGAAAAATGGGGAGAAGTGGTGACAGCATTCACACCCTGAATTCCACAGCCATGCCAACAAAGCAGCTGCTGCCCTGCTACCAGAGGTGGGTCACCTGGCCTTTGAGAAGCCCTGAGGGCCAGATCTAACCCACAGGGCCAAAGAAGTTGGACATTCCTACCCTAAAGCATGAATGTGTCAGAACCAGGATGAAAAGTAAGTTTCTCAGATCTATGTTCAGATAGCATTGTTCTCTAAATAAACTAACCCTCCCCCTCCAGCTGCGCTCTACTAAGGACTCTGTTCTGATAAGGTCCCAAGAAAGACAGGTTACAAATTACCATTTTGGCTTCCTCCACTGGAGTCATTTGGGGCTAGGGGAGGGGGATGCGACTTCTCCATCAGCACAGCAGGGGATGGGATGCCAGCTACTGGCACGGTAGGGATGTAGTAAGGACCTGGGATGGAAGTGACAGCAGATGGGTATCCAGCCTTAGCAGCCTTGCCTGCTTCATACACTGAAAAGAAAGCAAGAATTAGTAATGAATCACCTGCCCTGCCCTGCCAGTAGACGCTCCAACAGTACTCTTGCTGCTGCTCTGATAACAGTGACTGCCTCCCTAGCAGCCATCTGTGGCATCATGAATGAATCCACAAGAGCCAGTAGGTTCCTTCCTAAATGGAGTATCTAGAAAATTATTTCTCTGCTGAACACTCCCATCAATCTGTATAATGGAGGGCATTCAGCTTATAAAGAAGGGATGCATTGGATTTCTGATTTGGCTTTGTATCAATTCACTTTGAAAACCAAACTAAGTCTTTCAAGTAGCAAGCTTACTTAAAAGGCTTGTGGGATCTCAGCATGACTTTAGAATGGAACCTGGCTTTGTTGCAGGTGTTTTGCAAAACTCTAGTGGATAGCTACTTTGCACTGTGGGAACATGGCCTCCCCTGGTGTACCCTGCTTGTAATCCCAACACTTTCTAACAAACGGACAGGACTGTGACCTTGGGAGGGGGAATTTCACACTTAAGAGGAACAGACACGGTTGCCAGCACCTCGCTGATAGGAGGGCTCTGGAAATTACATTCTTAATTAACTCAGAGCACTCAACCATTTAAGTACAAGTCAGGTGCTTCACTCCTAATAACTGGCTTTTCTGTCAAGCAGGACAGTGTGTGGGGAGTGTTAAGAGTTTTTCCTCCTGTTCTTCTAGAGAGTAGAAGTGATATGGGGGGAGGTTTCTTCATTTGGTCAGTGCTGGACCTGGTCACTCACATGCCCGTGGACAGCAGCAGGAATCCGGACAGCAGGGGCAACGAACATAGCAGCAACAGCTATGGGGACAGCACTGGCACCAGCAAATCCCAATCAGGAGGAAGAACAGGAAAGCCCCCATGATTATCAGGCCAACAAACACCCACTCTGGAAACAAAAAAAGAAAGAACAGGTGCTAAAAGGCCACAACTTGTTTCAAAGGCAATGGGGACTGCACTTTTCTAGTAGGATGCATTAGGAGAGAACAAACAGGGAGGATAATAAAAGTATTCTTATTTGGTGAGAGTTAAGGAGGCAGGGCCCTCTCCACATGTGAGATGAAAAGGGGGGAAAAGTCAGAGGAAGAAATATGGAAACAGACTCCTTCTGCCCATGATGAATACAGGGGATGCTGGTGGGTGACCAAAATGGAGCGACAAGTCCTGTTCTGTCACTGTCTCTGGACACAGTAGGCAGACCTGTACAAGCTGCAAAGCATGTACCATGAACATTGCCAGCAATTAAAGATTCATTTCCTCCAGCCATGTTTGTGCCCTGTTTGTGTTTGCTCTCCAACAACATTCCAGTCTTAATGATAGTGTAAAACACACTATAATTAGGCTGGTAAATTAGACAGACAAGGCTCTGCTTGCCCCTTCGCAACCAGTCCTAGCCACACAATTACTCTTGTGAATGTGCTGAGAAAACACTACATTCAGGCTCTGTACCCAGTCAGGAACCTGGTAGCAGTCATATTTTTCTATGGCTATTGCCTGCGGCCCAGAAAGGAAAGCATTAAAAATGTCCTAATACTGGTAAGCCATGAGGCCAGTACAGAACAGGTAGCCATGGGAAACAAACCTTGAACTAACTGGCCCCAGGTTTACTCAGTTTAAAGTAACCTGAAGGAGAGAGAGGCCTGACAAGTCAGCCAGGCTCCCAGGGTAGCTGCAATGCATGCAATGGCTGACACGGTTGTGTGGCCAGACAGCAGCTGCTATTTCCTGCCCCTTTCCCCTCCCATGTCATCACCTGGGGATGCTACCCCAGAAACCCTGCTTTAGTTACAGTACTGGAAGGAGAGGTCTTTAACCAAGGATCTTGATCAACAAACTTGAATAAGCTAAGTGAAGTCAACTAGAGTGAGGTCTTGGAGGCATGAATCCAGAAGAAGCCTAGAATTTCTTTGAGTTGGATATGTAAAAATGATCTGGAATATGCATCCTGAGCACAGGGAATCCTTGTAGGGAAGAGCTCCAGACCCCAACTGGATGAATGATCACCTCAGGAAGGTCATTAGGAATAAGAAGAGAGCAGACAAGCTAAAGGTCTACTGAAACCACTGGGCTAGGATAGTTAAGGTACACCAGTTTCTGAATCCAGCATAGATTCATAGTTCCATAGATCGGAAGGGGCTGAAAGGGACCTCGCAAGATCATTGGGTCCAGCCCCACCCCAGTCTAGGCAGAAAAGACAACTGGGGTCAGGTGACCCCAGCAAGGTGACTGTCCAGTCTCCTCTTGAAGATTTCCAGGGTAGGCAATTGTACCACCTCTGGAGGGAGTTTATTCCACAGTCTGGACACCCCAACTGAAGAATTTTTCCTAGTGTTAAACCTGAAACGGTCTTCCAGAAGTTTGTGGCCGTTACTCCTGTTTTTTCCCAAGGGTGCCCTGGTGAACAGCTCTTCACCGAGCCCTTGATGTATTCCCCTGGTGTAGCAGTAAGCTGCTACCAAAGTCCCCTCTCAGCCTTCTCTTTTTTAGGGTGAGGAGGCCCAAGTCCCTCAGGCTCTCCTCATATGGCCCGCCTTGCAAGTCTGATCATACAGGTGGCTCCTCTCTGGACTCTCTCAAGCTTTCCCATGTCCTTTTTGAAGCGCGGCACCCAAAACTGGACACAGTACCATATTTTCATGCATATAGCCCACAGGCTATACATGTTTTTACAAACTTGACAGGTGGGTGCAGGCTATACAAGGGTGCAGACTATGCAGAGTCTTTAGAACAGCATAGCCCATCCCTGCCTGTCCCCAGCTGCGGGCTCCCGCTGCCGCCGCCAGCCACTGCCAGCCGCACTCTGCTGGGCATGGCCGCTGGAACCGGAGCCGGAGCTGGAGCCCGCAGCCGGGGACAGGCTCTGCAGGGGAGGGGAGGGATGAGGAGCTGTGGGCTCCGGCTCCAGCTCCAGCAGCTGTGCCCAGCAGAGTGCGGCTGGTGGCGACAGCAGGGAGCAGGGTTTGCAGCTCGCAGCTCCTCATCCCTCCCCTCCCCTGCAGAGCCTGCAAGCCCAACAGAGCCCACACTTGTGGCCATGTCCTGGGGTGCAGGGAATACACAGAGTATTTTACAAAAACACAATTTTCTGTGGGTTATACATGGGTGCAGGCTATATGCGCGAAAATTGGTACTCCAGCTGCAGTCTCACCAATACTGAGTAAAGCGGAAGAATCGCTTCCTTGGTTTTGCTTGAGATGCATCGGTTGATGTATGACAGAGTATTGTTTGCCCTGCTGGTTACAGCATCGCACTGACAGCTCATGTTCATACTGTGGTCTATTATTATCCTTAGGTCCCTTTCAGTCATGGTGCTAGTCAGTAGGGTGCCACTGAGCCTGTAAGTATATTGGGGATTGTTCATCCCCAAATGGAGCACTTTACACTTTTCAATGTTAAATTTCATCTGGTTTTGATCTGCCCAACTTCCTAGCCTGTCTAGATCTGCCTGTATCTGCAGCCTATTTTCAAGCGTGACCATGCTCCCCCATAACTTGGTGTCATCTGCAAACTTGGCCAGTGAGCTCTTCATCCCTACATCCAAATCATTGATAAAGATGTGGAAAAGCACTAGAGAAAGTACGGACCCCTGAGGGACACCACTGGCCACCTCTTGCCAGGATGACACAGATCTGTTCATCAGACCTCCCTGGGTCCAACCCTGGAGCCAGCTTCCTACCCACCTAACTGTCAAGCAGTTAAGCCCACAATCCTCCAATTTTCCCATGAGAACATCATGGGATACCAGATAAAAGGCCTTTTGGAAGTCTAGATATACAATGTCGATCTCCCCTCTCTTACCCAGGTGGTGAATTACCTGGTCATAGAAGGAGATGAGATTGGTAAGACAAGACCTGCCTGCAACAAAGCCATGCTGGCGGTTGTTCAGAATCCTACCTTCTGCAAGCATATTGCACATAGACTCCTTAATGAATTTTTCCAGGATTTTCCCTTGGATAGAAGTTAGGCTAATTGGCCTACAGTTGCCTGGATCCTCTCTCCTCCCCTTCTTGAAGATGGGCACAACGTTGGCCCTCTTCCAGTCTTCAGGGACCTCCCCTGAGCACCACAAGTTTTGGAAGAGTTTCACCAGAGGTCCTGCTATGTTTTTGACCAGCTCCTTCAGCACTCTCAGATGAAGTTAATTCAGCCCTACTGAATTATAAATGTCTAACTTTTCTAACTGATCACGTACCAGCTCAACTTCAACAGTAGGAAGGCAGCCATTGCCACCATGCCCATTCTGAAACTTACCCAGTATGGTTTTCCCTTTAGTTTGGTAAAATACTGAAGCAAAGCAGTCATTCAGGAGTTCAGTTTTCTCCTGAGTGTTGGTAACTACCTGTCCTGAGTTGTTAAGCAATGGCCCCAAGTTACCATTTGTTTTCCTTCTGTTCTCTACTTACCTAAAGAAAGACTTCTTATTGTCCTTGATTTCTGTTGCTAGCTTAAGTTCTGTCACCGCTTTAGCCTTTCTAATCTGCTCCCTACAAGTGTGGGTCATTGTTGTATAGTCCTCCTTGGGGACTGTCCCAAGCTTCCATTGTTTGTATGCCTCTTTCTTCTTTTTCAAGAGGACCATGATATCCCTATTAAGCCAAGAGGGCTTACCAGCCCTTCTGCTACCTTTTCTCCACATGGGAATGGACTTCTTTTGTGCTTTGAGGATCGTGTCCATCAAAGAAGGCAATGATATGGCCACCTTTGACATCCCAGTCCACATGACCAGGTACCCATTTACAGCTGGGTGGAAGCCTTTGGCATAAGTCCAGAGCAAGGCTTGAACTTATTCTTTCAGGGCTCTAGAAAAACACCTTAATTACTATGCCACCACACCCTATGACAACAAATAAGAAATGGGGAGGGGGGCAGAACCTATTCAATAAAGTTAGCCATGCCATAGATGTCAGGAAGTGAAGTCAAGCCAAATTAGACCTTGCACAGGAAGTTAAAACAAATAGCCAGATAACTCAAAAGACAGCCAGGAAAGAACATGTGGGGCTGCTGTGCAGTGAGGATGGGGAGACAAAGCAAGGGCTGTAAATGTAATCTATCCAATTCAGCAAAGTATTTGGTATAATGCTGCATGGGTAAGTATTAATCAAGCAGGGCAAGCTCAGTACAAAAATCAAAAGGTGGGAAAGGGATAGGGTAAAGCATGTCATGGTTTTTCATTCAGCCCACTCAGTCAAAACATTGAAAAAATAAATTGGTCAGGTCAAACCAAACAGAAATGTTGGGGTTCCTTTTGGCAAAAACTGTTTGTCCAAAATTACTGAAAAAAGTAATTTTGGACAATCAAGATATTTTGTTCAACCCAACACAAAACAGTTTATTTTATTTTTGGGTTGTTCAATAATTTTTAAACTTTTTTTTAAATGTAGGTCAATTTTTAATTAAAAAGGTCATTTGGAAGTGAGAAGTTTCTTTTAAAAACATTAAAATGTTTCAGCATTTCCAAAACAAAGCCCATTATTTAACAATGACCAAGTGAAGTGTTCTGACATTTTTTAAATACCTTCCACCATTATTTGCAACAAGAACTGTTTGTTTGATTAGACCTGAATTTACAAATAGATTTGGTTCTATAACACGTCATTTCTTTTTAAAAATTTACTATAAAAAGAAAATTCTAGTTCTCTCTCACTATAGGTAGCATTAAAAGCAGAAGTAGCAGGCTAGGAGGAGGTAACTCCGAGGTCACTAGTACAGTTCATCAAGGATTGATCTTGGAAATCTTATTTAATATATTCATTAACAACGTTGGCAAAAAAAAAAAAAAAAGACTGTAATGTGCTTATGAAAATTGCTGATAAGACAAGGTTGGAAGGCATTGTCAATAAAGAGGAGGATCTGGGTATCATACAGGAAGAAGTGGATGACCCTAGGGCT